GATTTATCAGACAGTTTTTGTATTTCAGCTACTCTGTTACTAACGAAAACTTGAAGTTTACCAGCGTCAGTATTTAGCCAACTTAATACAATTTGTGAGTCACACCAATAGAAAGAATCAAACTTTAATGTAAGCGAATCTGAAACATTTCGCATTAACCGAGCTAGAGTGAGAGCCCCACAAAGCTCTAATCGAGGAATAGTTAAGGTTTTAACTGGGGCAACCTTAGTTTTCGAGCATAGCAACTGAACGTACACCTCTCCAGATAAATCTACTGAACGTACGTATACCACAGCACTGTATGCATTCAAGCTTGCATCGCTAAATCCATGCAATTCAATGGAGACAGGTGAATTACAAACGGTAAATATTGTAATTCGTAAATCGTCTAATATAGGCAATCGAAGGGCAAACACATCCCATTGCTTGCTTAACTCATGCGGTACACAATCATCCCAACCCAATTTTTCCAACCACAGCTTTTGGATTAGTATCTTGGCTATGATTACGCAAGGGCTGACTAAACCTAATGGATCATAAAGTTTAGCGATGTTACTCAGCAACTGTCTTTTTGTTATATGACCATTAAGAGAAGTAATAGAAACCTTGAATGATAACAAATCTGACTGACTGCTCCATTGAATAACCAACGTTTTGACACTCTCATTTTCACCAAAATCCCAAATTCCAAATGTATCAGAAGTGTCTGACAATCCCTTTAGAATGACATGACTATTGGAAGCCCATTTTCTTAATGAGAAGGATGCGGATTTTAGTATACTGGAGACTTGATTACAAACAGCAACGCCCTGAACTTAATTATCAAAACCTGTGATTAAATCATCCACATACATATCACGGTTAATCACTTCGCATGCCGTTGGAAATTTATCTCTATTAATAGAAGCTTAATGTTTGACACATTTTATTGCCAAGTAAGGCGCACTTGAAGTTCCGTAAGTAACTGTTTGCAGTTCAAAAATTGATATTTCATCCCTGAAGTCATTTCGCCACAGAATATTTTGAAGGTACCTATCGTCAGGGTGAATTAGAATCTGTAGATACATTCTAGGTATATCGGCAATAACTACAAATTTGTGTTGTCTGAAACGTAACAATATTCTAAAAATATCGTTCTGAATAGCTGGCCCTGTGTACTGAATGTCATTTAAATGTTTGCCTGATGTAGTTTTAGAAGAACCATCAAATACGATTCGAACATTGGTTGTGAGACTCTGTTCTCAGATTACTGGAAAATGAGGACAATGAGAATCCATTGTAGAATCTTCCCTCTTTGATTTACTTCTCGTTTCCATCACAATTCAACATGGATTCGGGTAAATCCCACTTTTGACACCAAATGTACCCTGGATGGCCGAGTATCAAACTCTTTCTTCTGCTTCCAACTTTTATTCACCTCGATATAACTTCAAATGCGGAACAGGAACAAACTAACTTCAAAATTACCGTCAACTTTACAAACAATGACAATAACCGACGGAAAACTCGCTCTTCCGACTCACGGGGTTCAATCTCTTCTGCACCCGGTCGCTCTTGTCACTTCACTCTCTTTTGTGTGTGTGTTGGAACATATTTATTTCAGCTAAGTTTACAAACTTCTTACTGCTACTTACTCTACGGATCCTTAGTGCTAACATCGCTAGAGTGTCTAAC